CCGGCCGATAAACATTGTTAATACTTTTTATTATAAACATAGCATTTAATTAAAGATATGCGTCTTTATCAATAACTTATAAGAATAAAATATTTTAATAATTGTCGGACTTAATCCATTTCATAATATATATAACGAAGACTTTATTTTTCGTGAATACACATAAGTAGTATATTTATTTATTTTTGTCTGCCGGGGTCAATATTAGAAAAAATCATATAAAGAAAGATATATGCTCTCCGACATATTTTTCTCTAATTAAATTTTGAAGATGGTATAGAGAAATAAATAAATATAATGTTTAAAAAAAATAAACGGAACGTCTATTCATATACGAGCATCCACTAAATGTAACGTTTAAGCAAAAAAAAATTAAAAGTTTAAGTAAAAATTCACGTCAGATTAATAAATAAAAACCCGTTAGATTTCTTTACAAACTCATATATATGTATGCATACACACACACACACACACACACACACACACACACATATATATATATATATATATATATATATATATATATATATATATATATATGAAACTAAGTTAGCTCCTTTCAATATTCTTACTGTAAATTATCTTTAATGGACCGCGTTTCATGCGCATTTAAAAAATCACCACTACCAATTACACTAATTTGTGTCTTAGCAATTTAACCCTGAAGATGTCCTTGGATAAGATTGAAGGTACTTGGGTAAATGAAAGAGATAATCAAAACTACGGCATCTTACTTAATCATTTATGTGACAGCACGAAGAAATTCGTCCGTGAATTTGAGAGGATTAAAACTATAGACATCATATATCCAGATTTTCAACTAAACATACTTGAATAACGATCAGTCACTCAGTTATGTGCCATGCATGATGCACGCCTCGGTGATCATGTAACTTTTGATACATGACTGACGAGGCAGATTTTTCCCGCAGTAGATTGGCATTTATTTCTGCAGTAGACCAGTTGCCATCCGAGGCTATAGAACTCGGTCTTTTCTGCTATTTACACATAGCAGAGGTGAGAAGAGGATTCATATTTTTCCCTAGTTTATTAATACGCGAATGTGAATGTCATGGATTCGAATGAAATTCGAACTTGGCTTTCGCATTCCTCAAGCTGAGCCGCTATCCATTACTTCACCGTACATGCGCTATATATATATATATATATATATATATATATATATATATATATATATATATATATATATATATATATATGCACGCGAACACACACACACACACACGAAGGTAAAAACGTTTATTAGCACTGATGAAGTACAAATGCATATGTCGTTTTCAATATCGTCCTCCTGCAGGTTGATATCACTCTTGGGTTATTGTTCTTCATTCCTTCCGAGAAGATGCATTGAACAAGGCATCCACTCTGTGGATGTGTTTCCCTTGTTGATTGCCGTTCCACCAACTAATACACCTTTCATTGATTCATAGTGCGTTCTACATACTGCGCTAACACCGGGCTACTGATTTCCGGACGTTTGTTCCTATCTGCTCCGTATTACAGTGCGTTGTACAGCGATTGTGTTACCGCTGAGTGGAGGGTCCATATGTCTGATTTCTTTGCTTCTTGTCACTTGACAAACGAATGTCGCACGTTAGTGCCACCATTTTTTAATGCGTAATTTCAAAAGAGTCATTAACTTCTGATTTACAATTTATGATTGTATTATATCCAGTAAGATATAATTATAGGAATTAAAGCCTATATGTATTTTTCAACCAATAAAATCCCCAAAAATTTATTATGTTATGTTTGGACCAGCTCAAAAATTTAACAATAAATAAATAACTCCCTTCAACACTTTTGCAAATTCGAGAAAAAAAGATTTTCGTGAATCAGTGTGAAGTTATTTTCTAACCAATGAAAACTGTATTAAAATATTAACACCTCTATCTAAAACAATATTTTAATCCGCTTAAGAATATAAAAATAGAACAGTCCAACATCTTGAAGCTCAAGACAATTACGGAGCCAAGTTTTATCTACACTTGCGTACACACACACGCACCCACACAAACTCACACAATGGAAGAGACAGCCATCAGCCACCGACTTTGGCCTTGTCCATGCACACAATAAGACGTGATTAACCAGCAGCCACCGATTAAGCGTTTGTCTATGAATTGACAAACACATGAGTTTGATCATCATAAATTAAGTGCCTACACATCTGAAAATAGAATAAAAACGTTTAATTACTTTATAAAACAAACTCTATTGCAAGGAAAATTAATATTTTATTGCTATTATATATTTCTGAAAGGAATATATAAATGCTTTTTCAACTGATATTTTATTCCCACTTTTCATTAAAAATAACATTCTGGTTGTATATTTGTAATCCTGACACCCAGATAGGAAAAAAACGCTGACGAATTCAAACAATCTCATATATATATATATATATATATATATATATATATATATATATATATATATATATATATATATATATATATATATATAAATGCGATTATTACAAATCCACAAATTAGAATTATCCATTGAGATTTGAGCTAAAATCTTCCAATTTGCTTTCTCTGTTGTCTCAGTTGATAACTATGTCAAAACACTTAACGATGATAATTATGTAAGTACATATACGCGAGTGTATACTTTGATATATGTTTGCGTAAATGTACATTAATACGTGGGTAAGAACTGATTAATTTTGTTTACTCATAAACCTGTCTATACAAATGCAAAAACGGTCATATAAACAATTTAAAAATAACAAAAGAATACCAGTATTTGATGTCAAGTGATTCCAATGCTGGCAAAGAGATTAGTAGCCGAAGAACAATCTCTTAGAATATTAGGAAGTGAACCCAATTAACTTTAGTATTTAAACATAAAAATAGAGTCAATTATACAGAAATTGTTTACTCATGTTAGACCAATATACAACGCCATTTTATATGCGGTGTTTGTGACTTATTTAAATGAATCATGCCTTCTGTGTGGAATACTAAATCATTCGGTGGTCAGTACATCTGATCTGACCATTGAAAGATTATATGCCGCTTTTTCCTTTCCAGTTTCTCCTTTCTCTTCTATTTTTATCTCCCTTGTGTAAAGAGCCATCTGATTTTAATACTTACACTTTCTCTGGCGCATTAAATGGTTTTTCTTCTTTTTTTCCATTGACATGGGATTTTCCCTATTCAGATCTTTTATTGACACTAGCTTTATTTATAATCGTATAATTTGACTTGTTTTTTTATGGCTGTGCGTGGTTTTATATTTTTATAGAGTTAACTCTGTAGATATCGATATTCTGCTTGTTTTAATGGACAGAGCACTTAACGTTTCCTTTTGAAAGGCGTGAATATAATAAGCAGTCATTTTATTAGTGTTATTAATATTATTAGTAGTTTTAAAAGTAGCATTTGAATACGTAGTAATAGTTGTGGTTAGAGAAGTTATTTCAGTGTTAGAATCTTGCACAGGTTTAAAATCAATGATTCTATAAACGAGGTGTATATACGACGGCTACTGTTAACATATCAACCATTAGTATCTGTAGTGTCGAAGGTCATCCTAGACTGAACTCAGTGGCTAGGTTGGAGGGTTGCCACGACGGAATCTTTGGTCATGGACACGTTACCGAGGCTATCCTTTCCAATTTTAGGACATCGGTTGTTCTTTTATCTAGAAAAAACTGGACTTCGCCAGGTCTTCTTTCCCAAGAATCTACCTATACGGCTTCTAATTCTGATTTGGGCAAGGAACTGGCAAGGTTCTCAGTTGCACAGTGAATCTACTCTATGATGATGATGATGATGATGATAAATATGTTAATCCTCGAAAATATAAAGAAGAAGGTACTCTGAGAGTATAATTTCCACAGGTATATCACTACTAAACAACAATATTCCGCGGAAGAGTACGTACCTAATATTTATTTATTTCTCATAACCTTGATAAAGAAAGATGATGTGTTCCAACATTCAGACATTAAAATCGACCCTTCGTAGTTCAATTTTGTCAAAAGTTTTGAAATATAATAAATTTCTCTTTGATTGCCAATATTGGCATTATTGTGTTGGCATTTTATTCTTCAAATTTCATTAACTGGTCTATTAAAGCTTCATATTATCAGGAGTACACTCAAGCACCTTTCGTTTTTAATTATATATATATATATATATATATATATATATATATATATATATATACATACATAAATATATATATATATATATATATATATATATATATATATATATACTCAACGAGGTTTACCACCTTTTTCAGAGAAATAAGGTGTGACATTTTATCTATCTTTCACTCTCTCCTTGTTTCTTTTTTTCTACTCTGTCTCTCTCTCAACAGGCACACGCATTATATATATATATATATATAAAATATATATATATATATATATATATATATATATTGGTGATAAAGCGTTTGAAGATATCAATACAGTATTTGGCTTTCCGTTTCATGCCTGAAGCTATAATCAGACCATCAGATAATTGAATATATATATATATATATATATATATATATATATATATATATATATATATATATATATATAAATTTTTCTCACCGAAATATTAGCGCACACTGATCTAACTGGACGTTTAATTGTCAGTATTTTCAAAAAGAAGGAAATCGTCATCAGTTAGCGTGTCTCTTGAAAAATAGAAAAAAGGCATTCACATTTTCCAAAAATAGTAAGTAAACAACATAAAAAGACATTCGCGGTTGAAAGGAATTGGTATTTCCAAGATTCCAGTCAGTTTGAGAAAAAAACATTAAGTTTACAATCAGGGGGAAAAAAGCCTAGATTCCACAAACGACCATTAAAAGTAATAAAAAGAAATCCTGTGAAAACCGTCGATGCGGAAGGGCGAAACAGGAAGAAGCCATCGATTGGCCGGTTTCTGCATGTTATGGCTGAGCATGTGTTTTGATTCGTGCGCTGGACTCATAAAAACAAATGAATAGCTTTAACACGGATGAAAATCATGAGAATTGTTTATCTAACAGCGAAATTCTTTCCTGTCGAAGTCAGTCGCATTTCACCCCCACTCCGCCTCCATCCCACATTTACTCTTTCAGTAATTTTACCGGTTTGAAATCTGTTTTTATATTCTTCCTGTAGTTGATTCTCGCAGAATTTCGCGTTTCTTCGGTATAGCTATTATTTTTTTCTTATTCTTTTTTTTATTTCTTTTGTTGGTTTTTTTTTCTCATTTTATATCTGCAGCTTTCTGTATTTGGTGCTTCTTTACCCATTTAAACATTAATTTCTCTATTTTCTTGAAATTCTTCAGAATTTTTTCTATTTTCTAGGTTGTTTTCTCCTTTTTTTCACGTTTACTTTGCTTTTTTCTCTTTCTTTTTTTTCTCCTGTTTGTATAAAAAAATCTGACGTTCCTTTCTTTCCTTGGTTTCTTTGGTTTTTTTTTTCCTTTTTTCTATTTTTAATTTTCATTTAATTTTTCGTTCTTAATAACTCTTAATTTCTTTTTCTTTCTTTTTTTCTTTTCTTTGAAACTTTCTCTTTCGTTTTCTCTTTTCTTTTTTTTTTTATCATTTCTTTGACATTCGGGTACTTACTTTTATTTGTTTCCCTTCTCGGGATTTTATAAAAATCTCTTTCATTGGCGTCTTCCTTCCTTTTTCATGTAATATTTTTTTTAATTTATTTTCCTTTTGTCTTTTTTCTTTATATTTTAAAACGTGTCTTTCGTTTTCCTCTAAGCTTCATGTTTCGTTTTATGTTTATTATTTTTTCTTCTCTTTCTGCCTTGATTATTATTCATTTTTCACATACTTTTCTCACATTTTAAAGATATTTTTCCAATTTTCTTCTTCAAAGATACGTGTGTAATTTTTATTCTTTCCTTCTTTTATTATTTCTTTGTTGCTTTCTCTATTATCCTCTTTTTTCATCTATCTATTTTTTTCGGGAAAATTGCTTTCGTTACTTGTTTCTTTCTTTCTCCTTTTTTTTTCGTTCATTGTCATTGTTGTCATTTATATTGGCGTCTCTTTCCTTGGTATATATTCCAATGATCTAATTTATATTTCTTCCGATTTAGTTTTCATTATACTTTTATATTCTTAAAATTACATTTTCATTCATTTTTCTTCATATTTCTTTTTAAAGTTTTTTCTTCTCTCCCTTTTCTTTTTATTCCTCTCCATCAATGACAATCTCACAAATTGATATAAGTACAACGTCGAGTTGTTGGGTTTCCGGTCGTATTTCACTTCAGTTCTTCAGATTCCTATATGAAATCATATAATGCATCAATGACGGATAATTCCGTTTCAGTTGACATATTTTTATGTTCTTTTACGAGTGACAGTAAATATAGCTTAGCTTTTTAATAGTATTTTTAGTTGCAATATAGTATATGTTTAGTAAGAAGTGAGAAGGTGGCTATTGTCATGTCAACCGGCTCTCAAACATCTTGTTGCTACGCACTGACATGTGACAATAAGTAACCTTGACAGGTCGAGAAATTTTGAAATTTCTAATTCGTGCAGCCGGCTGTGTCTCATCGCACCATTTTCATATTATGTCAAAACTTAAACAACATTCAATTAATCAGAATATAAGGATTACAATCTACCCCAAATCATCTCGGGTCATAAATGTTCTGACGAGTATTTGCAATTCTGAACCAGCCTATGCGTTCTCTAGCAATAGCGATATGAATTTAATGTTAGGTAATTTACTGATTGGAATTAATCCACTTGAACAAGGTATATATCCTTCTGAAAACGCAAGAAATTATTACATGAACCCTAAATAAGACATTAAATGTCAATTAGAAGGAAGGAATAAACATCAATTGCAAGAAGGATGAATGTATTGTTGTCCACAAAAAGATCAGCCAAAGATGCGCATTACGAACTGGTAACAACAAATTCGGGCCCACCAAATGTCTTAGTAGACTTTTCATCATTATCATACTTAGACATCCCTATGATTGGTCGGAACTAGTTCTTTCGGTACCTGGGACAAATTGTAGGACGTTAACTATATTTCTAGAAAGACTGCTGCTCGAGATTAAAAGATCTTTCAAGCCATGACGTGAATTATTCCGTGCCAGACAACAACTTGGAATTTGAATTTCCCAGACTGTCTTAGAGACTTCAGCTGCGAAAGCCTTTCCCGTAACCTTGTGTGGTCACAAAGCAGCAGAGGTATAAATCAGAAATTTTCATTCTCTTAGAAGTTGTTTAACAGAAGATGGATATCCTATGGCGTATTGGAATAGAGACTTGCTTAGCAACAGCTAAGTAAATGATAAAGAAACAGGAAAACATTGTTAGAAACAAAAGAAAAATCTATTAGAATGTTACGTAACACAGTCCTACTATGTGGCACTAAAGACTGGACTATAGCATCAGGGATGAAGAAGAGACGTGAAGCAATAGAACCCCGGTTCCTCAGAAAGATGCTTAGAAATTCCACTGACCTAACGTTTTATTAGCGAGAAACCAAACGTAAAAATATAGTTCGAATCAGGAAGAGACTATTACAATTTTTAGGTCCCATAATGAAGTAAGTTGCCTTGGAGAATTTGAAACTCACGAGACATATTGATGTCAAGTGATACAGAAGAAAACTAGGAATAACTTATATCATAAAGCTTTATAAATCATTGGTAAAAAAAGGAATTAATAAAACTAACAAAGTGATAACACTTACTAATACCTATAAAACATAGATATTTGGAGGTCCATGAAATTCAACGTACTGACGTGTCACGGTAAACAGAAGAAAAACTGTTTACCCAATTAAAGGCTCAAGAGCCACTTAGGGAAGAGAATTACTTAATGTGGACAATGTATAAAATTAAGAGGAAGAAATAATAAGTGTATATTTTCAGGATGTTTACAATAGATAACGGTTGACCTTAGACTGAAAGAAGTTTAGATTGTAGCGATCGTGGATTCATCTACGCGTCATCAAGAACATGAAAAAATGCGAAAATTACTTACAATATTTAAGAGTCATTGGAAATGACACATTTTGTAGGTTATTTGAAATTGTTTCACTGATTATATTCACTTTATTCAGATTTTTATTTTCTAACATACAATTCGTATTTATTTTAATAGTATTTTGTCATGGCGTAAGGTTTTGTATAGTGAAAAATAATTAATCACCCACGCGGTCTATCAAGGCTTGGAAGCGTAGACTTAGTCTTTCAAGACTGGAAAGCGAGAACGTGACAACTTAAGCATTAATCAACTTTTTGTCACCACTTCTAATTCCCGTTCAACCAAGAAATAAACAAAACACTAAATTATTCACAAATATCTCAAATCTCAGTTCACTCTTCAATGTTTTGTTAGTTTCAAATTCTCCAAGACAACCTTCCTTATTATGTAGCTTAGGAATTTCAATCGTCTTATTTTCTGATTCTAACTGAATGTGTCCATTTTGTTTACCTTTTCCTGAAACGCTGTCGTTTATGAAAGGTTAGCTCCATGCTATTTCACAGTGTCATTCTGTAGAGCCAAATTTCTGTACCGCCATGTTTCTTCATCTGTGATAAGATTTTCCAGGCTTCACTTTCATAAAGAAGGAATGTATTACGTAACATTTCAATAGTGATTTCTTTTTCTTTCTAACAACGTCTTCATTTTTCTTCATATTTTATTTAGCTGTTGGATGTTGACTTTCATTATCCAGTACATCATGGGAGTTCAGTTTCGCGTTTTTCGTCTTCTATAAACGCACTTCTTTGATATATAGCTCTTTCCATAAAAGGCAGGGTGTTTGTGTGTGTGTGTGTGTGTGTGTGTGTGTAACGAATGCACGGCTGCAATTTTCTAGGAATTTGCACCAAAATTTACATGCACATGCTCCAAGTTAGCGGAAGGGGCAAGACCGACGTTGCATTTCCCAAGTCCCAGTGATAGTGGAAATAATCGATATTTCATGCTTCTATGGCAGTTTTCATGTAGTTTGCGGCCATTTTGTAATGGCCAGAGGGAGAACCTATAGCTGGATGGCACGAATAGGCAGGAAGATTCTATTGGCCAGCGTGAGAGCCAACAGCTAACGGACACGAATGTTAACTAGATATGCTAGCATGCAAAAAAAAATCGATAGCAGCATTCGTCACAAGTGGGAAAAATTTAAATCTGCATGTCACTTTGCTCCAATTGGCTCATTCGCTTGCTTAAACTCAACGTTGATTCTGATTCCGCAGAACTGGGCTGGGTGTGAAAAAGTATTTCTTGTTAACATTCTTTTTTCATTCGGTTTTTCCAGTTACGAGTCCTTTTTTAAAGCTGATCGTTTTGTGTTCATTTTGTTTAGTTCTTTTTTCGTAACAGATTTAATGTTTAGTATAGAGCTTAGAAAAAATTCGCAGTGTGAGATAGGCAAGAAGTAAAGCATGTAGCGACATCAGCACGGCAAAGGGCACTCATTTAAAGACAAGGAAGGACAAAATATTTTTAGGTCAAGTGATAGCGATTGCTGTATGAGTCGTACGATTTTTAATCAAGCACGAGCAACGCCGGGCCATGCTGCTAGTATATATATATATATATATATATATATATATATATATATATATATATGCATTTCTATTGCCTTGAATTTATTGTCACCAATTGGCAATGCGCATCTTTTGCTGTTCTTTTTTGTAGACAACAATATATTCTGTCTCATTGCGATTGATGTTTACTGCTTTCTAATTAAAATTTATTATCTTCTTTGGGAGTTCCTGTAATTACTTTCTTGTGTTTTCATAAGTGTTCATACATTTTTGTAACATTAATCCAATTTTGGGCTTAATCTGACTCTTGTAATGATAGATCATGTCAAATAGAACATTTTGTAACGCTAGTAAAAAGTATTCTTGATAAACCATTTCATTTCCTTGAGAACAGAGCATTTCTATGAATTTATATATTTTACTTGTATGTATATTCATTTATATTTGCACACGCAAAATATTTACACATGGATTTTAATTGAGTCATACTTGTCTGCGTGTGTCTATGTGTTTATGCATGATTCTGTTTATCGCTATCCTGACTCATGTGTTCTTTTTTTCTGGGCATGTGGGAATATATATATATATATATATATATATATATATATATATTTGTACTTCCGATTTAAGCACACGCACTAAAGCGAGATTGATGTGTACATAAATTTTGCTAGTAATTCTGAACAAAAAGTGCAAGTTAAAACCTTCAAGTGTCGGATCGAAAAGATAGGTGTTGACGGATATTGCAGATTGACTGAGGTAGGCGGGGGTGGTATTAAAGTGTCGAGTAAACCGGACGAAGGAAAACGTATTAACGAGGTTTTCTCTTGTTATAAAAATCTGTAGCGTTAGTCAATGTCACGTGACTGTTTGCCTATCCATTAGAAAGTGTTTGTAGTTGGAGGTGAGGAAGGGTCAGTTCTGGTAGGGGAGATATCGGCTTTTTGCGACAATCGATATGGAATAGCCGTTCATTCATTTAAAACCATGCGAAGTGCGAACGTTAAAACAAGTCAGCAATGTACAATTAAAAGCATTCGATGAAGCAACCACTCTAACTAGTGGCATACAAGTTAATGTATGTTATTTAATTTCTAAAATAACATTGACTGCATATATATTGATGGATTATTGCGATAATATATATATATATATATATATATATATATATATATATATATATATATATATAAGCATTTCGCCCCAAGCAAGGCGTGAAGCCACTAGGACGCAAGGGGTTACAGAAAATTTAGAGCAAGATCAGATAGGAGTGATAGAAGAAAGGATGAAGGGTAGTGGATAGATCAAGGCAACTGGAGATGTCGATTGACATTACACTTGAATATATATGTGAAGAAATATACTCTTAAATTGTGCTATATTTCTGGGATAAGGTGCTCAATATCAAATATAGACCGTTTGTAAAAATAAAAGTAACATTGATATCAACACTTAGACGCGACAGGCTGTTTCATGCTAGACGCAATCGTCACGCCTGACGATTGCGTCTAACATATGGCTATATATATATATATATATATATATATATATATATATATATATATATGTATATATATATATATATATATATATATATATATATAATTTCTGTTGTGTAAGTGTATAATATGCATATATACGATGATAGACATAGGTACACGTATATATAGAGAAAAATGAATTTACAGAAAAATATTTCGTTTTCAACGTTTATTCATTCTTTGTTAATGCACT